CCTATTTTTCATTAAACTTGGGACTTTTTTCTATTCTAGCCAGCACAGCGCTTTTTCAGCTGTGGGTTAGTTTCATTGATTTTTTTTCCTTCTTATGATGCTTCTTTGCAAGCCCAATAATCACTAGATGACCAATATTATAAATGGTACTTTTTTGAATGTTGTGTATTTTGGATTAAAATAAAACACTCTGATACTCTGCAGCACCCTGATCTGACTATTTTAGCTGCTTTGAGATCCCTGCATTCAACGTGGGCTCTTCCTTTACAACGGTCTGGACATGTTCCTCTGGCCTTCAAGGGCAACAAAGCTTCCCTTGCTTGTTTCCTAACTCTCAAGATTCCTGTCATGACCTCCTGGCTCATTTCTTTTTCTTTTTTTTCTTTTCTTTTTTTTCTTTTCTTTTTTTTTTTTTTTTGATTTTTGAGACAGGGTTTCTTTGTATAGCTTTGTAGACCAGGCTGGCCTTGAACACACAGAGATCCATCTGCCTCTGCTTCCCTAGTGCTGGGATTAGAGGCGTGCGCCATCACCATCGTGCTCTGGCTCATTTCTTAAAAACCGCCATGTCTTGTGCTGTTTGGGGAGGTATGGTGACTGCTCCTCTCTGACCAAATGCAGAAGAACATAAACTTAACAGAACTTTAAAATCAGAACAGATCATTGTTTGTAAAGCTTTGTTTCATACCCAGGGAACCTGTTTAAGAGGCTGAAGTCAGTTCCCAGGCCCAACAATAAATTTACCTTGCTGTTCTTTCTCTTTTATTTACACTCTATCTGTTGCTTAAAGAAACAATGAACTTAAAAAACTAAAATTAACTTGCTTTTAACTCTTTGCTATGAGCCTATGATTAAGTTTGTATTTTATTAAACAATATATTTCTATTAGGTATATATTGTGAAAAAATTCATTCCTGGTCATTGATCCTACCTGTATACACAGATTAAACCAAATAAAGATTGAAATGTAAGTAATCTCCAAGTGACCTCAAGTCCACAGGAACATGTGCACAGGTTATGTGTAAATACTATGTCACTTCATGTCAAAGAATTGAGCTGCAGCTGTAGACGTTAGCATTCTTGGAGGTCCTGGAATCAATCCCTTAGATACTAAGGATAATCACACACAGAGGGAAATTTACTTGCATTTATTTTACAGCAGACTGGGAATAGTATGTCTTGGAGCACAAGGCTATGCACTCAATAAACTGACCAGAATTTTTCTTGGATCTGATCACTCTAGGTTCATTTGAAAATAACAACTGCATGTATGTACAGAACATATTTTCACTTCTAAACAAACTACACTAGGAAGGACTCAGAGAAGCGGCTCTGAACAAATACCAGCTGTAACCCCCCTACACACACACTACCATTTAATCTGCATGCCTCACTTAAAAGACTTAGCGCAAATGGACTATATTGTTATCACTAAATTTTGCAATGAGTAATCTTTCAGAGGACTGAAATAAAATGTAGAAACAACACAGATGCCGTACCTCTAGTGAAGACACACTTCAGTGTATCAAAGCTCTCACAGGCTCTGAAGTAAAGCAAAGAACATGCCTTTTTTTTGTGCAAAGGCATGCTTTTAATTTGTTAATGAAACTTGGAAAACTAAGATATGGCAAAAGCCCTCATGCTTTTGTATGTAGGTGTGTTCTGTTCAGACCCATAAAGCTTGAAGTGAAACTTAGACATGTCATTTCAACCGACAAGTCTGCATTCACATTAAACAATTCATAGGGATGGTTTTCCTTAGCTTTGGTAGCATCCCTTCCCACCAAAGTACACTACCACACATGACAATGTGCACATCAGTATGTGTACACACACACACACACACACACACACACACACACACACACACGTGATCATTGCATTTCTCAATGGCTGCTTGAATAAAGTCTCTTAAATCATTTATGAAAAAGTTAGTAGCTTTACAAAATTAAAACATGGAAGCTGGACTGGGAGGTGGTTATTACTGTTTAGGCATCATTTACAGTTGTGTGTGAAACTGCCTTTCTGGGTACTTAAGCAAATAAATACATTACCTGCAATGTCTCTCTGCATACATAGGCTATTTGCAATTCAGATAATGGCCCAGTAACTAGAAAGAAATAACAACAACAAAAAAAATCACATTGTTGTTTGACACTAACATTAAAAAGTCTAGCTGCAAAACGATGAAGCAGTGTACACCTTCTGTATACAGCACTGTATACATGCCTCCTCTTCTAACAAGCAGACGGTGTCTGTGTAACTAAGAGATGAAGTACAACACTGAGTATTTTAAAGTCTATTTTGAAAATAAGAGGTTTATTCCTGAATAACTCTGGACAGTGAAAATGTAGTGTCCATTATGTGCAAAGCTTGGTACAAGCACCACAGAAAGGCCCACAGAAAGCCAAGGCCCTAAACTCAACATAATCTCAGGAACAGGCAAGAACATGGCTACGCATGTGTGAATTACACATCTAGAGCATGAGCACCGAAGGAGAGTGGCTGCTGGGACCCACTGATAAGCACCACATATGTGTGTGTAGAGGGTGAGGTACTCTTCCTTAGTATAATTCTTCACACATCTCTCAGGATAGGGAGTGAGGCTTGATTTAGTAACTTACCAAAGAATCAAAAGTAACCAGATTATTTCTGGAAAGCAGATCTTTCTCTGATATGAAATATAAAATCCTTATGTAACTATCCAATCAGGGGTTTCAAATAGTGCTTTTCAGAACGTGAAAGGAAATCTGAGGTTCTGCTTGCTGATGCTGAAATCCAAACTAGACTGGACATGAAATCTTTGTATAGAGAAATGCTGCACTGCATTGTTTAATTGCTGGCTGGCTACACCTACTCAGGAACATAAAAGTTTGATTTTTAGTACACTGGTGAAATACCAATGCTGGAAGTGATGCCATTTCATTAACAGCATCTAATTTATACATGAGTGCACTCACATATCTTTTGTAAATAAGGTCTCACTCACTATATAGTCCCAGCTGGCCTGGAACTCACTACTCTCTATGTAGACTAGGCTGGCCTCAAACTCAGAGATCTGCCTATGTTTATATTTAGTATACTACTTAAAGGAATAATAGTCCTTTAATTTAATTTAACTAAGAAAAATAACGATCAGGTTTTAGGGGTTTTTATTATTATTTATTTTTTATTTGTATTGATATTTTGCTTGCATGTATGTCTGTGTGAGGGTGTAAGATCTTGGAGTTATAGACAGTTGTGAGCTTCCATGTGGGTACTGGGAATCAAACCCTGGTCCTCTGGAAGCGCAATCAGTGCTCTTAGCCACTGAGCCATCTCTCCAGTCCTCCAGGTTTTAGTTTTGCAAACAGAAATTTCCTGAAAATATCTCAGAACAATTCTTTAAGCATAAAAAGGCAAGCAATAAAAACTGCCAGCTATATTCTTCATATTTTCAACAGCTACTTGTAAAAATATAGATGGGTAAAGATTATAATTAAATAAAAATTTTTATAAAAAGTAATAATTCTTTAAAAGTCTTAGAAAATAAATTTAATTGCCAGCTGGTGATGGTGCACAACTTTCATCCCAGCACCAGGAAGGCAGAGGCAGGCGGATCTCGGAGTTCAAGGCCAGCCTGGTTTATATAGTGAATTCCAGAACAGCCAGGGTTACTCAGAGGAACTCTTTCTTGAAAAACAAAACAAAAACAGAAAATAATTTAAATTCAGTGATATAGAAATGTTATTATTTAATCAATATTTCTTTAAAATCAATAAAAGGACAAAAGAGAATAGTCATTCTGGAAGTTTTAATAACAAAAACTTTTATACTACTAAAATAATAAAATATTTTTCTCTCTCTTCTTAAAGTAGGGTTATAGCTTACTGAAATTTTTTTTCTTTTGAGACATGGTCTCATGTAGTCCAGGCTGGCCTTGAATCAATCCCCTATGGAATCAAGGATGACCTTGAACTCCTGACTTCCTACCTTTGCCTCCTATGTGCTGGAATTATAGGTGTGTACCACAGCACAGGCCCTTACTAAAACTCTCAAGAGACAGTCTAACCACAGTATTTTGTGTACTTGTAATATTTATGCAGTAAATTAAAAAAAATAAAGAGAATGAGTAGCTAAGAATAAGTTGAATGACACAATAATACATATTTATCAGAATTCAGAATTTTCTTCTGAGCTCCACTTTTCCTCCCTTAGAGGCAGTGACTTGTGAATCTGGCATATAATCCTCCCATTTTACTATACATTTACACTCATGCATATTTACAAAATAAAAATTTAAGAGCCTGAGCATGATCAACTGTGCTACACATTTTTTGAGGAGAAATATCCAAGCCAGAATATGCAAAACTATGTTATATACTGTTAAATACAGTTAGTTTACTTCATCATTGCTCATCTGATATTATAAAAACTTACAGACTTTTCTAATATACAAAACCGGAATAGTGCTTCTGTGTTTACATCTATTGTGACTATTTCAGACGCTGCATGAACAAACTTTGATGACTTTCAATGTAAAGATTTTAGCATAGAAATATTTTTGGGTATGTCACATAATTCTCAATAAATTATGCATATTTGCAATGGGCCTTTCACTATCCCATATTAAACACAGAAAAGAAAAATATTTCACAAAGATTAATACTCAGTTTTATAAATTTTAATAGCTCAAGAAGCTGTCAAGCACATACCTTAGGCAGTAGAGCCCCCACAAAACTATTTGTTTTTTTTTTTTTTCCCCGAAACAGGGTTTCTCTGTGTAACAGCTCTGGTTATCCTGGAACTAGCTCTGTAGATCCATGCTGGCCTCAAACTCACAGAGATCTCCCTGTCTCTGTCTTTCAGGTTCTGGGATTAAAGGCGTAAGCCACCACCACCCAGCCCAAAAACTATTTTTAAAACAGGTTATGAAGAAAGCCAAGTTCAATTGAGAAAACTGACTAACTAGCAGAATACTAAATATTCTTTCTTTTCAAAACTTCTACATTTTAATACAAACTGTCAGAGCAATGACTTCTATCCTGGGAGCTCTGTCTTCTTTCTATGACCGACTGCTCTATAAAGAAGCAGGGTAGTTGCCTCGGCAGCTGCCTTGTTGCTTTCTTAGAAACTAACTCTAAACATATTTATTTAATTTTTAGCAAGAGTTTTGGTGCTGAACCCAGATTGGCCTTAAACTCTGGAACCCTTCTCACTATGCCTCACAAGCATTTGGGTAACAAGAGCACACCATCATGCCCAGTTAAAAAAACTAAATTGATACTGTACAAGCATTTATGGACCTCTTAGTTCAGGCTCAAACATAATTAGCTGAATAATCAAGGGCAACAATAAGAATTCTTAGTTTTTAAACGTGATAGAGAGTAATTCTACCCCAATCATTTTCCTTGTTAACTAGAAATGTCAAACATCAACCATAAAAGTCAAAATAGTTTAAGATGTAAAATTGTAGTAACAGTACCATGATAAATATCTTGAAGTGATCCGCCACCACAGTATTCCATGCAAATCCACAGTTTTTCCCTACTATAATGAGAGAGAAAGAAAATTATAGCAGCCTGTAATTCTCAACTGCTGATGTATGTAACTCTACAGCTCTCAGTCTTAGCACACTGGGTTCGGGATGCAATGCAGAAGTCGCCAGTGCAATCCTTCCTCCACACACACGAGAGCACATTGGTTTCAGTTTTCTTTCAATCTGAAAAAGGTTAGGACATGATCTGTTTTCTGTTATCATCATTCATAATGGTCCATTAAGGCTGCCAGACAAGGCATGGTCATAGAAGTGCTAATGTTAACATAGCAGGAAGATGGTAAGAAAACCCTACTAGACTTAGAGTTCTGGACAATGTTTTCAAAATGCACACACAAAGGCAGTGGCAGAGAGGGAGGGAGAGTGGTAAGAACGAGAACATTAAAACTAGATCAAGAGGTGAAAGCTTCTGATTTACCTGAGATAGCTCCCAAAGTAGGCAACGATGTTGCAATGTTTACATTCTTTAACCATAAATATTTCTTGCTGAATCAAAGAAAAATCATCACCTGAAAAACAAAGTTGGTCACCATGTTACTTCAAATATGAAGAAATATGATAGACTGTACTTTGCAGCTGTTGGAAGGAATACTCCATAGTTACCTGTCATGTCCATTTGATCTGTGGTACAGTTTAAGTTTTATATATGTACATAATATCCATTATATAACCTCCTTAGTGCTAGGATGCTCCCACCACTGAGCTACGTCACATCTCTTTGTTTACACTTTTCATGGGTGAGCTATACATTAATGACAGAGAATTTGTGTGCATGCCTGTGAAGTTCAGAGGTCAATGTTGGGTGCCTTCCTCTAACACTTTCTTTCACTTTCTTTATTGAACAGGGTCTCTCAATGGACCTGAAGCTTGCTGACTGAGCAAGATTAGCATGCCTGTGAGTCCCAGAAATGCTCCTGTCTCCTTCTCCCTATACTGTGGTTATAGACACAGCATCAGCAACAGCTTTTTTATGAGGATGCTAGGGTTTCAAACTCAGGTACCCACTCTTGACTGACAAGCAATTTACCCACTGAGCCATCTTCCAGCCCCAAAGTTACCCAGTGCTATTACCTGAACTCCAATGTCCCTATGTGTACAACAGGGTTTGCTTTATGCAGTTGGGTCCAACATCCACTACATATCTGTTCACAACCATATCTTCTAGTTGGACTGTTCCATTTGTTAATATAAAATAAACTTCTTTATCTCTTTTGACTAATTTTGGTTGGCTCTGTCAAACATGAGAATATAAAATGAACAGCTACTCGTGTTTGCTTTCTGAGTCCAAATGTTTGGAGCATCAACTTCTACACTTTCAGTTCATGAGCATCTTTTCCAGTGAGGTGGATTTCTCATGGATAGCTACCAGTTGGCTCTTGCTTTCTAATCCGTTTACCCAGCCTGTACCTGTATTTTCTTTCACTCTTTAAAACTGGTCACACATATGACATTTTCCTATGAGTCTATCGTTGTACTTTGTTCATGTTAATTCCCATATTACCATCTCTTGTTCTCTCACCATGTTCCCACTGGTCCCCTTCTCTTCCCAAATAATTACCCTATGTTTTCAACACACACACACTCTGTTAAAACCAGATTTTGTATATGACAGAATACATGTGTTATCTTTATGGGTCTGGCTTAATTTTGCTTAGTGTAAACAGTGTTTGTAATTTTTAAACTTACATTTGAGGGTGTGTGTGTATGTATGAGTACACTTGCACACATGAGGATGCATGGGGATGAGAAGACGACTTTGTGGAGCCAGGCCATGTAGGCTCCAGGGACTGAACTTGGGTCATGAGGCTTGGTGGCAAGCGTGCTGAGCCATCTCCTGGCCCTGGTTCAGTGTTTAAGGTCTATGTCTTTCAGCTTCTTCCCTGATCTCTTTCTCAGCATGCTCACTGCTGGTTCACAAGAAAGGCAGTGGTCTGAATGCTGGGCCTAAGGATGCAGGCTACTTCTGCTGCAGAAGTGGATTTGAAGGTGTGTCCTCAAGTTGAGTTTCATCCTATCCAGGCCATTTTAAGGATGAGACTAGTTAGCTGAGAACGACAGAACTCATTATCTCTGTTTCAGCAACCTTCTCTTTTCCCCTGAATATCTTGCAAAGGCTTTGACTTTAACATTCACTAGGATTTAGTCTCTCTTAAAGCCAGCTTCACTCCCTGACTAGTGGGTTTATGTTAAACACACTTTAAAGGACTCCTCCAGCCCTCTACTAGTCACTCCACACACACCCAGTCCTTCTAAGATGATGCCCCTTGCTTCAGCATGAGCTATTATCTGTGCCAAGTCACCTGGCTGCTGTAGGTACCTGGGTGAACAACAGGCCAGGGCAGAACTGAACTACAACCTGGCAGGAGATCGCTTCGGTCTCTTGAAAAGTTGAACTATGAAAAATGAATTTGTTTTCAGTTATTAGCAGAGTCAGTAAGTCTGCTATACATAGAATCTGAATATATAGGCACTCTGGAATCTAGAATCAAAAGCTATGAGTTACTTTGGCTACAGCTCTCCTCAATGTACTCTGAAAACCATTTGGCTGAGTAAGTCCTGATAGGGGAACAGAGAGCTCCTCCAGATAAGCCTCTGCTGTGTTTTCCCTGACTCTGATAAGGGCAGCTGCTGGCTGCACCAAAAGTAGAAAAGAGCTGAGAGCCACCAAGGCCATGTGATTGCCATCCAGGCCTCTTTTAGTCCTGGGGACCCCCCCCCAGAAAAAGAATGACCCATATCAGCCAAGAAGGGAGTCCATCAGATGTCAAAGAGGGATGGACACTGCATTCTCCATGAGAGACACTGGGGCCAGTCCTCATTTGAATAACTAAATGACTAAAAGTCAAGACTGGCTTGAGTCCCTTTGAATAAGTTAACAAATTTCATTACTTTCATAGGACATTTATTACTGAAAGCAAGATTTTCCATTTATTATATTCATCAGATATCTGATTTATGCTTTGAAGATCTACTGTGTATATTTCTACCTTGTTGCTTACAGGTTAAAATTATTAACACGTTGTTTCTGAATTACACAGAAGCCTACTACTAAAACATGTCCATCCTATAGAGGCATCAGTAACAGAACTATCACTTTTTAATAATAAAAAACTTTTTTGTTTTAGTCTATATTATTGTAGCAACATTAATGCAAATATTTTGATACTATAGAGAATTAACAAGAATAACATTAAAATTACTCATAAATTTACTAACTAAACACTGATCATTAGCATTTTGATATTTTCTTCCATTTCCTTAAGTATGCAATTATGAGGTTTCTCCTACCACTTTCATGAATGGGACTCATATGCCATAGCCTAGCAAGAGTATTTTCAGCCAATACTAAAGTAAGTGCTGTTCATGTCATTAAAAATCACTTTAAAAACTGGGAGGTGATGGTGCCCACCTTTGATCCCAGCATTGGGGAAGCAGAGGCAGGAGGATCTCTGTGAGTTTGAGGCCAGCCTGGTCTACAAAGCTACACAAAGAAACCCTGTCTTGAAAGACCAAAACAAAACAAAACAACAACAACAAAAAAAAAAAACCCAACCAACCAACCAAACAAACCTACCACTTTAATAACTCCCAAATTGGAATGGAACAAGTGAGTCAATATAAATTAAAGATGAAAATAACTCACAACTCCTAGAAAATCCTAGTAAAAGGCTTACAAGAGACAATGGATTTAGCCACTTGCTAGGTATGACACCAAAAGCATAGTTAATCAAAGTGATAAAAGACAAGAATATATCAAACTTTAAAAACATTCATTAAAGGACACAATCAACAGACTAAGAAGAAGCCTGTGGAATGGAAAAGTGATATGTAAAAATGATGTATTTGATAAGGAGTTAATATTCATAATATATAAAGAGCTCCTATAATTCAACAACTACAAATTAGCGAAGAGGTGGAAGCAACCATCATCGTGAGGTAAGTGGGAACACACACACACACACACACACCCACACACACACACAGACACACACACACACAAGCACACACATAAAATGATGCAGCCTTAAAGGGGAAATCCAGGAGGGCTGGGAAGATAACTCAGTTTGTACCTATGTAGAATGCTGGGCCTGGAGGTGCAGGCCTGTAATCCCACTACTAGGAAAGTAAACACAGGAGGATCCCTGGGACTGGCTGGCCAGTCAAATTAGTCAACAAAGAGCACCAGACACTGTCTCAGAAAATAAGGAACAATATCTGAGGTTGACCTCTGGCTTCTTCGTGCAGGCGCACATACATGCATGCTCATCTGCATACACATGCACACTCCACACACACCATGTTGTTGCCAGCACATGCAACAAATTTTTAAAAAAATGAACTGCTCTCAGAAATGCAACTGAATCAATGCTATAAATATTGCATGTGCTAAGCCTCATACAGCCATGAAAAACATGACACTAGGGACCGTGAGATTTGGTTGATTCAAGAGGTGATCAAGACACACGACATTTTCCCCCCCACTGAGCAAAGTGAGTGTAGAATGTTTATTGATTAAGTACCTTAAATTTTTTTAAAAACAGGACTGGAGCTTGAAACTAGGGCCTCTTGCATTCTAGGTAAATGTTCTCCCACTAAGCTATATCTCCAGCCCCTCTCCTGTTTTAAACGATATTTTAGGGCTGGGTCTGGCTAAGTTGACCATACTAGGCTTGAGCTCACTATAACCTGCAAGCCTTACACTTACAATCTTTCTGCTTCAGTTTTCTTCGCCTAGAAAATCTCTGTATGTTTCAAATTTACTAATCTAGAATCTGATACTGAATACCAATTTAGAATCTGGCATTGAAGGCCATGGATTTTTATTATAAATAATTTTAATATTATTTTGTGTACAAAGACAAACTGGGAAACAGAGAGTCTTGGGAATAGGATATATAGAATTACCTATGCTTTAATTGGCACAAAAATTTCTACTTAGCCTTTATTTAATTTTCTATTACTTAAAATCAATAAAACAAAACTTCTGTGTGTGTGTGTAGGTATGCAAATGTACACTTGTGCGTACATGACATGGGCCCATGCAGAAGTGGAGACCAGGGGAGGGTACTGGATGTCCCATTCTATTATTATTCTCCTTATTTCTCTGAAGAAGGGGGTCTCACTGAACCTGGACTTAGGCTGGTGGACAGCAAGTCTGAAGGAGCCTGCCCTATCCATTTCCACAGTGCTGGGGTTACAGGTTTGCCACATAGGCTTTCTATATGGGTGTTAGAAATTAAAAAAAAATAAGGATTTGTCCCAGAACTCGCTCTGTAGACCAAGCTGGCCTAGAGCTCACAAAGAAGACTCCGGCCTGCCTCTGCTTCCAGAGTACTAGGATTAAGGTGTGCACCACCACACCTGGCTAAAATGAACAATCTTAAAAAAAAAAAAAAGACTCTGCATTTATGTGTGTGTGTGTGTGCACATGTGCAGGTACCCACGGAGGCCAGAGGAGGTGTAATATCCCTTGTAGTTACATGAGTTGTGAGCCACCTCGTGTGGGTGT